ATATGCAATATACCAAATGTTTAGCCGATACTTTATTTAGCCGATACCAAATTTAGCCGATACTGTTATTAGACAAGAAGAAAGAAAATCAAATTCTATTTATAATCATATTTAAGAATTTAAAATTCATGAAATAATTGATCGAACATTTCCTACCATTCTATTTCTTGCATTATTTCATTTCAAAAATAATGCAAGAAACAACAATATGATGGATTGTTTTATTGCAATAATGAAAGTATAGGTAGAACAAATTTCATGTGGCAATTTATCTTACGCACAGCTGCTTCGTTTAATGAACAACATAAGAAAGTAAGCCAAAGCTAAATTTTGTTTTCAACTTCTCCTGATTTACTACATCAATTGCTGTCGTTTGATTTATATTTGTAGTAGCTATCTCTCAGCATTTGGCATTGTTCTGCGATACATATATAATATATATATCATTTCATTGATCTAGGCTATTTGTTTTCTTTAAATAAAGATGCGTTCTATTCTCGCTACCAAAAACATATATAATAGTACACTGTCCTTCGTTATCCATATTACTCCCCAAGGAGTGACATTTTCCTATCTCCGTTTCATGATCGCTACACTTATCGATCTTTAGCTTCATACAAAGGATAGCTTTCACCTTACTACACAAACAAATATCGTTAAATTAAAAAAGTAGTAATCAAAAAAGGTGTGAAATTTGCCGAATTTTAATTCTCAATTAATCTTACTTGAAATTTTGTAAGTTTTTAGTGGCAATATTTGTTAAGTGACCAGTCCCTCATTAAACTTCCCTATCGTGAAAGTCAATACAATGATATCCATCATTTCTATATCAAAAGTTTTTCTCTGTCCGATAATTCATTTCTAAAGGATACGTTGAAATTTTTGAAAAGTAAAATAAATTTTTAACTTATAATAACTAAAGGATGAAAATAAAAAAAGAGAGGATAAAACTGTTCGAATGTATGGTGCGATCGATTGAAATAAATCAATTTAGAGGTGACATGTCATGAATAGCAACGATAATAGGCTCAGAAACGATATGCTCAGGTGAAGAAACAGAATGTATGCAAAGATGCAAACCGATACAAAGAACTTGCAGAACTTGTAGTCACGCAAACACACACAAACACACACACACACACACTTTATATATATATATATAGTTCGTATCCTCGGAAACAACTGAATTGCTTTGCTTTGTAGGAAGCCCTTTCTATTCTCTTACGAAGATTGATGATATCAAAGATAAAGAAATTTAACATTTTCCATATGATCTTTCAGACAATTAAAAAATCATTAATCAACTTGCAGAGGAACAATTATCATAAATTTATTTGTCTTCATCAATCTAAACATTTTACAATCAGCTTTTTCTGGAAGCCATTGAACAATCATTTATAATTTCGCTTTCATTGATAGCAAAGACACATGCATACACACTGATATGATAAGATAATGATAGAGATTTTCGAGTATTTGGAAAATCAAGAAATTTAAATATCTTCAAATAATTATTAGTGAAAGTGAAAGATTATTTGATATTTTACAAATTTAAAGCAAAGCGGAGAGTTAATGAAGCTGAATGTTTCAGCTAATTATCACATCCGTTAATTCGAAACAGCAAATGGTATATGAGTTTCGAATCCTTTCCTACATTACATTTCTCTTTACAATGCCAAATAATTTTAAATGACAGAGAATCTCAGATTCCTCATCACTTGCTTGATCTATTTATAATGTTTAATTTGCACTGTTAACAGCGTATGCATTATAATAAAGCACTACTTACTGTATCCAATGATACTTAGATTTCTAATCATATCATGATATCATGTGAATGAACAAAAGTATCGGGTCGAAATGGCTTTTAACGAACAAGACTACTTACTAATAGTTTTAGGGAACAGTTGAATGTTTCGTAAGAAGAAATTAGTCGTAGAAAATGATCAAAGCTTCATAAGGAGATAAAGATGGACAAGAATATTGAAAGGACATTCATGCTGCAAAAGCCATTGAGTTAGAGTGCTATTTAGCATTGTTACATATTTCTATGTGCGCAATGATTTAATAGAAAGTTTAACACTGGGGCAATCTGATGGAAAATGCAGAAGTGGCTGAATGACATATATGTGGGAAGAGGTGACATCTCAGAATGTCAATACAGATATCGTCGAGGATGCATGAATGCATACGCTTTCACAATGAGGATTTCTTCAAGTGTATCAAGAAATGTTTAAATTAAGAATACAAATTGGACAATTGAGGAGGAATGCATGAAATAGTGGCCAAGGTTAGCCATATAAAAAGAAATTATATGGTGCATCGCCGTCCATGCTATTCATCCTCTTCTTCTTCCACAAAGCACATCATCATCAGCAGTTTGTTACTGGATAATGCTGTTATTACAGCAGCAGTACATCTACTGCCAATTATAAAACGCTAATTAAATATTCAGAAAAAAATGTTCAGATAAGCGGAATGGATGATTCTTGCTCAATCTTAACATTGATTCAGACATAAAAAAAGGATATAGAAATAAAAGCCTTGCTCTACTTCAAACGGTAAGTTCGGTTACATAACACTTAATTATACCTGAGTAAAGGCTAAGTAGAAAAAGTTGAGTAAAATTATTATGGAAAAACGATCGGATCCAGAAGTTTTCCCATCATTATTGGTATAAGAAGTTAGAGAATTGAAAGTGTGAAAAAAAATTGTAATTTCATTTTATATGAGAAATAAGAACACTTACGATGAGTGATAAGAATGGATGCAATTAAAAATCCAATTTAATTCAATATTGAAATTTAATTTAACCCAATTTAATTTGATACAATAAAAACGTTCATAGAAACACTTCGAATACTATCTACAATTCATACGATAAACCATTCTTGCCACTTGAAACTTTTCAATTCTTTTTTACCTGTTCTTTTTTGTCTAATCCATAAAATATAGCCTTAACTGGGTAACATTTCAATGATAAAAGCTATAATTATATAAAAATAATTGTTGTGTAATTTCTGTCTACAATCGTATCATTATTCAATCAATCATTGTCAATAAATGTTTCGAGGAAAATAGAATAAAATTGAAGGACATCTAGTTTTTTCGTTGATCAAAATTTTATACAATATCAGCAGCCTTTGAATTCTATATAAAACTATATTTATCTTATAACATTTCGCTGAATTTCAACTGACAAAAGTGGCAAATAAGATCATAAAAGAAGTACAAGTAATGAGTAATTAAATTTCAAATCCTTGTCAAGCATTTTTTTAAATGTTTCCTAGGTAGAAAGAGAGAGGATGATTTGAAATTCGAAAAAAATTTAAGATCGAAATTTCTAGAAATAATCGCACTATTAAAATACCATATCGATGAACAATGGTTGGAAGACAATCTTTCCAGCCTTTTTTATTTCTCTGTTGAAGTTTATAATTAAAGACGTCGTGATATAAATTCACGTAAAGAATTTTTGAATGAAAGAACGCTTGTGAGCATGATAGCTGTAGAATGTTACTAAGAGCAGTAGATCTAATTAATTAAGAAGTACTCAAGATCTACAATGAAAGATTAACTACTAATTAATGAAATGACTATGGAGAAATAGAAAAAACGGAAGATGAATTTGTTTCTATGAATTTGTTTCTATGGATTGATTAAAAGGAAACATAAAATTTCACACGAAACGTAGGGTCCACGGCAACATCAGAATGTCAGTCATACCTTTAATGTCAGCTCTGCGTTAAAATCAGGTCATTACATATATTGAAATACTACTCGTTATATAAGCAATGTAGGCAACGTGAAATGGAATTTGACAAGCTCTTTACAACTCTTTTCTACCTGATTCGTAACAAACTGTTATAATGGAAAAGTCCGACAGAGACATCTATACATTAAGTTCCTTAATTATAAATTGATTGTTCGAGATAATAGACATTATCTTCCTGTAACTTTATGCCTAAAACAATCAATCAAGACAAAAACGGCTCAAATTAAATTTAGAAAAATAGAACATACATAGATAGAGACATTCATAAATGAACATCGTAAGTGTTTAGTGAAGATGAGAATTCTAATTCCGAAGTGTACACTGCAATAAGAGGACAGTTTGTTTATTCATCGATCTATGTATGTATGTGTATATGTGTGAGTGTTTGGATGTGAATGTGTCGATGACTCTGAATGTGTATCTATGTATATTTGGTGTGTAAGAAGTTTTGGCTAAGTGCCTATGGTTGTTTATTTACAATGGAGTTTGATTGTTAACAACATGATCTGTCCCTTGTCCTCTATTCTTCTGTTAACATCCATAAATTTAGCTCTTTTAGTTGGTAGAGACCTAAAATGCGAAATAACTTTCTTATTTCTATACGTGCCTATATGTGCCTATTGATGCAATACGAAGTTGTAATCCGTTGCTCATAACTTATCGCTTTCTTATGGTCACAGTTTAGCACGCGGTCTCATTCCACTTTTGTTAAAACGTCAATGTTTCATTATAAATGACACCTTTTTTCGGATCTCTTCTCTATTTCTGTTCCTTTTATCATTAGAATTTCTGTAGTCGTATTTCATACACTTCCTCCATAACATCCTGCTCTCGTTTTTCTAATGAAATTCTTAGGCTTGCGGGAGAATCTAACTGCCCACGTTTCCTCACTCAAATCCATCACAACTCCCAATCCGACTGACATTTTACCTCTCCTCCAAAACATCCGTGAACTTCGAGAATAAGTAACTCTACAAGATTGCTTGTTTCATTACCGTTGCATGCGTTTTTGTCATGAAAACGAATCTATTGGTAGCGGCAGTTTGATCTCTAGTTGCGGTCAGTGGAGAAGGTAATGGGGTTTGTGGTGCGATGGTATTATGCATTCATGTAAATTTGGCATGGAATAACTACTGGAAAAACTTTTGGTAACTCCTACTTAGAGTAGGGAGAAATTAAATGTTTGATCAAATTTTTTTGTAGAGATTGGTTAATTGAAGTAATAATGGGAACAATAAGCAAAGCAATATTCAATCGAGATATTGCGGAACTTGTTGAGAAAACGGCAAATTTAGATCTCAGGTACCGGTGGCAGTTTAATGATGTAAGTATCATTTTTCATCAGCAATTTTTAAAATTGTTAATCAAAGTTTGCTACACTGGTTTTTATCACTGAACAATGTTTTTCTGTTGCACAGATTAAAGGGTTTCTTTTCAACATTATTCGAAAAGTCATTTCAACAAAAAGTTATGATCATGGAAGGAGAGAAATTTTGAGAGTATATCTTTTCTTTTGTTCATAAAATATTATTTGACTATAATAGATAAAGAAATGGATTAAATAAAATATTGCTTTCGTGATCTGTAGGGAATATTAATTGAAAATTGTTTTATTTCTGTTCAGAAAAAAGATTTGTTTAATTTCAGTATAGAAATGGGCAATTTTTATCAAACAGTTCGGTATTGGAGTTGAATGGTGAAACAGTTTTACGCACGTTTCATATTACTTATAGTGAAAGCTATGAAGTTCCCATATTGTGGTTTATTTTCAGCCGGCAAAGTTCTTTTTTATTCTTTATTTTATATTAGTGCCTCTATTTGAAAGATAAATGATGTCTACACTCTAATTCTTAAGAGTTAGTACAGTACATATTTCCAAAGTCAATTTAATACGTAGAACAAGAAAAATTCACATTGACATTAGATCATTGGTCAGCCGTACATGGATTTTACTCTTTAAATTATGCGTTAAAGTAACGAGTGAACGATTTCACAAATATTGCACATCGCTTATAGTGGTTTTGAAGTACATTTTTCAAAATATAAATACAAAATTTTGCTTTATTTGTGTTTTCAAAAGCTTACAAAAAATATTAGTTTCAGTTTGCATAAGATAGATATGCATATAAAGTTTGTGTAATAAAAGTAATGATTTATTGCAGCCGGTGCTTTATTAAGCATAGAGGAAATTTTGAAACTGATGCCTGCTGATAAACAGAAAGCAATATTGGCAGATTGTTTAACTTCAATATCTCAGCGCGAGCATCCTATCTTCAATCTTCTTTTCTACCACTTTCATCCCTGTAGAACAGCAGATCTTATGAAGACTATTCGCTATGATAACTATGTTATTAGGTAAATTGTTTTCATTTGCTTCTTTGCGTGAGAAAATTTATTTCAAGCGAAGATAATAAGGAACCTCTGTTACTTATCAAGTCCTTTCAAGTATTTAAAGTTGCAAATTTTCGTAAAATGTTTTTTATCAATGTAAGAAAAAATAATGGAGCTTTCATATAACGTTTCTAAAAAAAGTAGAAAAAGATTTAGAGAAGTAGAAATATCTTAATCTATAAGAGTTTTTGATTTTGATGATTTTCTGATTTCTTTGATTGATCGTGACTTTTCCAGCTGGCTATCAATTTTTGGCTCACTTTTGCATTTACTGCCATTACCAAATGAAATATTTGTAAAAAATGACTTCGCTGTAAATAACAAATGTTGGAGTAAATAACAACCGTGGATGTTTAGGATTATTGATTCTGTTTCGGATTATTATTGCTTGATAGTATTTTATTAATAAAAAAGAATAATCTTAAAACTAAAACATTTGCTGGTAGTAGTTTTTGCATTTATCTTGTTCAGTTTAATGGCGATATTTTTGTCACCTTTGTTGAATAAGAAATTGAATAAGAAGAAAGAAAAAGTAATGCATTTATTTGAGCTTTATGTTTATGTTCAATTAAATTTTATTATGCACATCCATTATTTTTTTGTTTCAATTGAAAACTTTCAAACTTGTATAGTTCATTCATTTTACTTATTTGAAATACTTTCATGTATGGATGGTACAGCACAAGATATTTTATGTGCATTACTAAATTGTCAATTTAGTTGAATTCAAAGCTTTCTAAGTTGGAAATTTATCCAGTTCTTGCCGTGGGAGGTCACATCTTTTGTTTCTGTAATGTTTCTGCAAAAATATCTCTTTAATTTGTTCAATGAAATTTATTTGCTGGAATTGTAGTTTCGCATATTAAATTTTGATATTTCGCATCAATCTTTTTCAAATCTAGAAATGAGAGGATCTTCAAGTCTCTTCATAATTTCAGCAAAAGAAAAAATATACACTTGAAGATAAATGGAATTGTTTTATGTTTCGAAATATCGAAATTCTGGTTTACAAATCGTGAGCAAATGAATGTATTGATGAAACAATAAAAAGATATGAAAGAGAGCAAATATTCATTGTTACATAAAATTTTTCAGCCTTTTCAGATTTAGTGATCTGATGAATAAATTCCGAACCATATTTCAACTTCATAGCAACTTCATTCCAATGTGATTTGTAAAATTTTGATAGTTCCTGGTAGAGCTCGGTAGTTTAGGATTTTAATACTGCTGAATGAGGAATATGAATTTAAAAGATGATGGGAGATTTAGATTTCTGGATGCATTGTCTTTTTCGAAGTACTTAATTTCACGATAATTTTGCATTACGCATCTTTCGTTGGCAGACCCGTCTCTCATGACAGTATAGTGAACTTTAAACTTCAAGATGTCCATTCCTCAGATATTTAGTCAGCCTTATTTGAAAGGTATTTCAGTATTTCGCTCTTTTGAGTACTTTGATATTTGAGATTTCCGCTTGCTGAGGTTTGTTTTGTACTTGATTACATAATCAAAAACTTTATTGAAAGCCTGCATAATTTACTTTGGTTGAAATTTCTGCGAATCACAGATCAACATTCCTCGAATAGCGAAATTTCGTCAGATTTGGTACAAACGAAGTAAGCGCTATTACATTCATTTCTGCTTAATTCTAACTTTAACAAGTTCTGAAGCAACAAGAAAATGAATTAAATTTAAAGTACTCATTGTTGGAGAAGGAAACTAATGGTACGACCCATACGATATCATAGAAATATGACTAATCGAAATATGACTATATGACTAAGGATGACTAATCGATTAGCTATTTGCCTTTCAGAGCGATAGTATGGAATAGAAATCGCCGATTACACCTTCATTTGCCATTTTGCTTTTTTTCCAAAGCTAAGATCGATTGACAATGATTCAACATGTTGTTACGGCCATTTACATCGCTGATGTTCCTTTCTTGTATTTTCATTTCATATGCACAATATCAATAAGCTTATTTCCTTTTCTTTCAAAAAACATTAAAGTAATGGTTGTAGCTTTTATAATTCTAATAATTTGAAAGGTCAGATGAATCAAAATAATACGTAACTTCGAAACGATCAGTTTCGGATTCAACTCAACGCTGTTGGAATACCGTTGACCTGAATCTCATGCATAAGATAACTTTATAGTAATTCCTTTCAGTTAATTCTGAAAAATAAAAACCAAGCTATATTTAGAAAACAGAAGAGCGACGCATAAGATGATTTTTCAGCAAATGATGCAATTCCTTTCAATCCTATCGAAAAGTTGGATCTTCAGATTTTGCTCAAGAGTAATCGATAATGCATCACTTGATTGATCACTTTATAGATAATGAACAAATAAAATACAATATCTATTAAAGTCATATCTAAATAATACTTAACATAGCCAGTGTTTTTCATCTTAGATATTATTAACATGTGAAGAACAACGAAAGGCATTCGCTCATTTCTTGAAAAGTTTCAATAAAATTATTGCAATGTATTCAAAGTCATTGTATGAATTATCTATCCATAGTACAGTGAAAAACAAGGCTTGTTTCAATTGTTTGATAATAGCAAATAACAACTGTCTTTAATAATTGATTTAAGGAACCTTAATATAAATGAAAAAACATCGAGATTATAAAAAATAAATACTCGTATAAATAACATAATTATTATGCTAAATTTATCAATGCTATAAACTGAGGCTAATATTTCGAGGAAGAGGAGAAAATGCAAAGAATACATGTGAATAATTCATAACATATAAGTTTTTAAAAACATTAACCGATCAAAAACCGATAGACTCAATTATTCGATCAAAGTTCAATGCATAAATGACTCAAAGAATGAATTGCAAATAATTCTTTTTTTTGTTAATTTAATTGTTCAGTTAAAAAGCGCAGGTAAGAGATGCGAAATAAGGTATGATATCTCTCAAACTTGTTATTAAATGATATTTGAACAAGCGGATACATATGTGATCGACGAAAATATATTATACTATTTTAAACGTATCGATAATTTAAAGCAACTGAAACATAGTAAAAATCATCACATTGGCCTTGTGATAAAGCATTCAGAAGATATGGGAAAATACAATTAGTGATCAATTTTGAAAAATCACCTAAAAAATGCTGAAATTTTGTTATTGATAATGTGGATTTTCTAACGGGCAAAAAAAAATGAAATATGCAACATATTATTTCAGCATGAATAGGAATTCATGATTTTAAAGAAAAGATACGGATAAGAGCAGTAATGATAGGTGCGTGAAGATACTAGACAAAAAACAAGAAAACTTTACTTTTCAATAACTATCACTATTCATAGAAGCATCAAAAACTATTCTGGAAAAAAAATTGAAAGTTTTGCGAATTCGCAGAAAAGCCTATGTAGATATATCTTCTATGCTCACTATTCATAGAGGCATCAAAACTATTCCGAAAAAGAAATTGAAAGTTTTGCGAATTCGCAGAAAAGCCTATGTAGATATATTTAAGAGTTATTTTCTTTTCTATGCAACAAATTAATGTAATAGAATGAATTTGAAGTATTTCGATTTAATCAAGTGATCATCTGAATTATTTCAATCTCCTCAACATAGTGAAAAGGAAAAGCGAAATTATAATATATTGATCACAAAATGATCGTATAGAACATCTTTACTAAACATTATGCTGCTCACATACATTTGTGCAGAGATTACGATGTACATCAGCAACTGGTGCAATAACTTTTCGGAATCCCGGTGCAAAATTTGGATGAATTTGAAAGAATGAATTTGGATAGAGTAATGTCCTGCTTCGATAACTAGACCGTGTAAGCAGTACTGCACATATCAAATAAGATAGCATAGCACCACTGAAAAAGTTTATCGAATTCATTCATTAGTTCTTTTAATTATTTTTGAACTTTTAATCAGTTAAACAAAGATTCTGCACAAACTAAATAAAGCTACAAAATTTAAATAGAAATGAATCGTAAACTGTCACCTGTAACTTCCACTAAATATTCAATATTCAAAAATCTCATACTTCTTTATCTTATTTACTATAGTCATCGATGTTTTTGTAAAGATACAATTAGGCTAATACGCGATAAATAAATATCATGTACCGTTGAAAAATGCCATGATAATGCAATGCATTTTATCACGATTGAATTTACAATTTATATTGATTCAGATTCTTAAAAATTAAACTGTATTGATTGTTGTGAGGAATGCTACAGTATGCACTTAATTATAGCGAAATACAAATAGAAGTAATTAATAATACCTGGTTGCCAAACAACCAATTGAGAACCATAATAATCCGCTTCGGAAGATACTATGACAAGCATTTGTGAAAATCGCACCATCAAAAATATCTGCAAAAATTTTCAAACTTAAATAAACTTCAAATTGCATAAAATCGCAAAAATATTTTTCTCTTTTAACAATACCCCCCTTTGATAATTAAATTTCATATATGATTTTCACAATACGAAGAATTGCATATGAAAAATGAATCTTGCAAAAAGTTCTGGAAATGCCAATAAATTACTCAAAATTAATTACCACTAGAAGCAAGCGGAATAGCATCCATATATCCTTTGGCACTTGTACGGCCTGCAAAATTTTTTACGACACATTCATAAACACCAACATCTTGGCGTAAGAATTGTTGAATTTGAAGTGAACCATTTGAATTCTGAATAATTCGTTTCGTTGATAAATCAACTGCTTCTCCGTTCTAAAATTTTATAAAAAAATACATAACTAAAGCTAAGTATAAGATGAAATATATAAGTGACATAATGGAAATTTGAATAATTCATGCCACCAACATTCCAAACACTTTATGGAAAGACTGTAGTAAAATTAACATGAATATGAATGTACCAAAAACCAGGTATAAGTTGGTGGTGGAACAGCTTTAGTTCTTGGGCAATGAATGGTTACGCGTTGTCCAAAGCGTGCTAGAGTTGGATGAAATGTTGGTCGAGAATTACTTGGAAATGGATTTACATAGGCAACAACAACTCGAGCAACTTCACCTTCCCGTCTGTCATCTATTCGACGACACCAATAGTCGCCTTCATCCTCTGAAATAAGTAGAAAAATTCTTCCACTTTAAAAAGTTCATCAACATTTTGTCAAACATTTTGGAGAAATCAGAAATCAGATTTTCAAAGCAAATATTTTGACATTCTGTCGGAATTGTAAAAAGAATGAATGGCTTGAGAAATTTAAAGAATAACTTGCCGAGAGATATATTTGCAATGATAAGGAAGCCAACATCCGGAATGGCTTGTTCGGTATAATATCTATAATCGTGTAACACTGCGTTTGAAGTACTGAAAGCTTTTTGTCATAAAATGATTTAAACAATAGAAATACAATCTATAACGGATTACGGTGAAGAAATTCGGTTGTGGAATTTGTACATTGGATAAATGTAAAATTCCAAAATATGAATTTTGTTTTTCAAATTTAGAATATTTCATGAGAATTTCACTGCGCAAGAAATGTTGATGTAAAAAGTACGAAGTGAATTTACAGACAAGGCTGTTTTAAAAGTTTGGAAATATGCACAAAGTTGTACTGACTTCGAAATCATCACCAAAATGGCATTATGATCTAAACTATTTACAAACATAGAGGTCAAATACGGTTTTCAAGTCTATCAAGTATTCAAATATTTAGATAGAATAGAATGAGGGATTCTTAAAATCTACAAATTTACTATTTTCCTAAAGTTAGAAAGTTGCAAGTGCAGGTGCTTAATCTTGTCGAAAAGTAACAAATATAATAAAACACAGGATTTACAAACTTTTATAATTTTTTTCTCTTAAATCATAAACAATCACCTTGAAACATTTGCAACAATTACGCCGTTATGATACCATTGTGCTTGCTTGTTAGTACCAGTAAATACCGGTTCACACATCAGTGCTGTTGTTGAATATCTGTAGTTATATTTGTGATAATTAAAAAGTTCTATCTTATCATCTAGATTTCAAACAATACAATTTAGTCCTGTGAAGAGTTAAAAACGAAAATCTTAGTCAATTAATTTATGCTGTTCGAAGTATTTTTAGATCGAGAGGATTCATAGTTCCTATCACAGCATGTTTGCATTGTATATCATACTATTATGTTCTGTCACCCCATTGGAAAAAAAGAAAAATCGACAATATTTGAAAAAGTTATTTTTGCATGAATTTGAAAGTTTCCAAAATTCTTCCCACATCTCAAGTTTTCCTATTTGTCCTCTTCTTCGCTTTTTGACCGATGTCCATTACAGGCTTAAAACCAATCAGACTGTGCACTTCGTTTGTTAAAGATCTATTGAACGGAATGGAAATTGAACAACAAAAAGACTACGCGATCTGCGTTTATAACATCACATTTCTGATTAACAAACATCTATTTCTTTTTCTTTTTCCAGGTATTCATTAATGTCGGAAACATTATTATACAGTATTACAGTTAAAATATCCCATGTAATCAAAGTTTGAAATTAGAATTCTTAACTACCAACTGGTTTATGGTACTTAACAAAAGTCAAAATATGAAGAATTTTTGATGGATAAAGGAATATTGAAATTTTCATAGGTTTGCACAAATATAACAATCTAAAATCTACATCTATACCTTGGTATCAACATTTCATTAATCACTTTTGGCTTGATTTCCTTCGTTTCCGCTTCCAATAGCCGAGCATTACCTGAAGTGCAATATCGGAAATTTTATGAAATTAAAGAAAGCTTTTTTTGCAAGTTCCTGTCAAATCGAATCAAATCAAAATTTGTTAATTTCTTTCCATGTCTCTCTATCAAATAAAATATATTTATGAAAAACAAATTAAATAAGTGGTAGTAGAAATGTGAATTGGCAGAGAATCTAAGCGAACTCACAACATCCATTGAAATAATTCATCCGTAATTAATAAAAATGTGGAATTGCCAATAGATTATTTACCTTTGTTGCCGGAAGCAATACGTTAAATAGTATACTTTCAAATGGCAGCATTTATGAAAAGAAAATTTTAAAACCCTCAAAAAAGCTGACCTACTAAAAATATCAATTTACAAACAAACCAACACTTCGAATTTCATCAAACCTAATTTCGAAAATTCGGGAATATTTGTGATAGTAAGCTTTATGGTAGTTTCTGGTACTAAATTTCAAATTATAGTATGAGATGACTTACTATTATGTTATTTTCAAATTTGGAAATCATAAATTGAATATAAAAAGTTTTTCCTCTTTTAAGCCATCTTTATAATTTCCTCTTCATAATAAACTATCTAACAAAACGAAACTAAAACTTGTTTTAAACCTGATAACATATAAAGAGTACTAGAGAGTATTATTTAAATGTAGAATTTATAATTGGTAACAAATCAATTTAAATTCATATGTAATATGATCGAGTTAATCTTCATTTTGAAATCTCTTTTTTATATATTTATTACCTTTTTAGACCTGAAATCCATGAAATAATTCATATAATCAAAACGCTTAGTTAATATAAAATTGTGTATTAGAATTTAAAATTATTCAAACCTGAATTAATGTGAAATAGGAATAGAATGAAAATGATTTGGGATAGGATTAAAGTATTGATAGTGTTGCTCATTTTGTATAAAATGCATTTCTTTGTTATCGATACATCATTTTGAGCCTGAAAATTTACTGAACATTTTTACTGCTATCACTAATAATTAGCATATTTTGAAAACAATAACACGATTTGATAAAATTTATTAAATATTCATTTCACACTTAACATTAGCTTAAAAGTAATCAATATTTTCGAAATTAAATTTTATTAAAATTTTAAATTTCACGAAATTTCATAGTTATTTCAAGAATTGATGTAAATTTATTGATTTTTCAAATGTTTTTTTTTTTGTTGGAGAAAATACGATTGAGATGGAAAAATATCGGATTATGGCTTCATATAAAAATTTTGCAGTAATTACAGAGCGATTGAAATGAAATGAAATGAAATAGAAACCTAATAGTGTCACACATCTGTTCATTCCATTAAGTCTTAATTTTTTGTTGTTGTTGAAGATTTCCATTAAATTTAGTGAAATAGTAATATAACAACAACGATTTGAAAATGTGAAAGGAAAAATTATGGATATTCAAAAAAAAAGGAACGGATATTGCTATTTGAAATAATCGGTTTGAATTGCGGATATTTTGGTAGAGCAAGCAGCTCAATTAAGGGATAATTATTGGATATGCTCGTTTTTTTACACTGAAAATAATCTCATTATATAACATATCCTCACTACCATTTACGACATTCTTAGATAGCTAAAAATAATTTATTGATTTGCTGTAAAATTTGAAATGAAAAAGTTTTATAAAAATAATTTTGAAATATGACAATATAGCTAATGAAATACTGCAAATGACAAATAATAAAAGCTTTCTATCACAATTATCAGCTTATCAATAGCTATAAAAGTTATCTAATTTTGTGAAGCATTTTAGTTTATTGATATTTGAAATTTACACCACAACAAAATTGCATGTCTTTTTACATAAGCAAAATAGAAGTTGAGTGTTGCAGCAGAACTTGAAATACAATAACAGTCTATTCTTCATAATTCCGATCAATCTTATCAATCTCAAAAAGACAGAGAATGAAATTTTTATAATAATGGTATAATTTATGATAGCAAGATGGTCAAAGCTGTCAACAAGACATTAGCAAAGTATGTCAAAAAAAGATAAGGAAAGAATTGCATAGAAATTAACAAATAAATAAAAAATGTTGGTAGGTTGTTGAGTGAAAAGTGAAACTAACTAAACAACATTTTTGAAATACATTAAACGGTTGCTTCAAACAAGATGATAATCATCAGATAAAAGATCAGCAACGTTCACATTATCCATTAATAGAAATACCATAGTTTGAATTCATCTGATAGAAGTACCACAGTAAATGTGTAATCATTTAGTTGAGTCATAATTGAAAAGATATATTTTATTAGTTAGGTTTCATTTTGAAAATAATAAAGAAAAGAAATATGTGTTATCAACTTAGCCTAAATGAATAAGCAAAATTTTAAATTGAAAATTGAAGTAAAAATACGCTTAAATTCTTGAATATACCCCACCCACACACATACCACCCACATATAGAAAATAGCAATTGAATGATTTCTTTTCCCATTTTCATCCTTTCTATTTATTATTACTTAGCAACTAAATTTTTGCTAAGCAATAAACATGAATATTTACTTATTAAGAGATTGTAAGTAATATGAAGAGAGTATTGTGAATGTTGAAAACAGATAGATAGATAGAATAAAAGAAAAACAAACGAAGTTAAAAGTAATGCGTTATTTTTGAATTTTGAAATTGAAAATGACTTTGTTTTTCGATGATGCAATAATGAAGGAGTAAGTGTTAGGTTTAGATGCATCATTTAACAATAATTTGACAATTCCATTTCCATTAATATAAAGTTTATAAGATGAAGTTAAAGTTCGAGGAGTTTACTTCTGTCAACAATTACCTCAACAATTATTCATTCTTTAACATTCATTTAAGAAAAACGATTATTATCATCTCAGCAATAATTCTTTAAAATGATACAGCTTATTTATAAAATAACAGAGCTTATTTATTTCAGATCTGAATTATAGTATAAAATTGAATTTGGTTATAAAATTAGGTGGAGCAAATTTAAAAATCAATATTTTTACATTAACAAATTTCAGTGTCAATAATTTCAACAATTTGAAAATAAATAAATTTTGATGGTAAAATTTAGTAATCAATTTCTTCGATGAAAAAATTTATCGGAGAGACAAATAGAGAGAATTAATTTGATAAAGATAAAAGATAAGAAAAAGAAGCATTAAAATTCTAAGAAAATTTAAATCGTAAAATTTAAGTGAGATCAAATCAATACGATCAAAAATGCATTATTCAAATCAAACTAATAATTTTAGGTAGAAAAATGGAAGCGATATTTATTGGAAATAATTTTTCACAAAAAACGATCTCAATAAAAAGTGAAAATATAAAATGTGAACTCTTTTTGCAAAGTACATCAAAAAAATAAAATGATATGTGAATTTTCTCAAGGATCCCAATATGAACGTCAAATATTTATGAGTGAGTGAGGGGAGTGATATTTCGAAAATTTCGATGATAGGAAGAAGTTAATAGAAAGTTTTACGGTTATTGCAGATAGTATAACTTAAACAGTTGCTTTACTCATTAAAATAAAATTTTAAAATTATATCGCCTCTTTCTTAAACATTTACGGATAAGTATGAAATGGCTATTAAACTATTTAATATGATACCGTATAAACACTTTAAGTTAAATTTTTTATAAAACAAGAAAGTCTTATTCTTAATAGATTTTAAAACTTTATAACTGATGAGTGAAGGTGAAAAAGATTGATGTAAAATAGTAAGCACCCATACTTTACAATTCGATGCAATTAAGGCTAATTAAAAAATAAATTATCTAAGTTTGAATTTATTCGCACATTACTTTACGTACCAAGCAATATGTCAATTTTTATGTTGTAGCAATTAACGAATAATACTGTTAGAACCGGAAAAATTGTTAAGAAAATTAAGTAACTCTTTCTTAACGAGTTATATGTAATGTTGGCAAATGGGCGCAAAATGACATCTATCAGCACTGCACAATTTCATTATCATTATTAATGATCTTACAATGAGAGGAGAAAGACGATAAGTGGAGAGGAAATGAGGTTGATAATGTTAGTAGTAGTAGTAGTAGTAGTGGTAATAAAGAAGACTGATCACTGTTTTCATCAACACAAGTTTATCATCCAATGTAATGTTGAATATTTCGTAGAACGTTCAGTGAGGTATTTTATCACATTTGTCTCTTAAAAAAATAGCTCGGTCAACAGATTTAGGATAAGATGAAAAAGTTGAATTTAAATCTATTAGATTTTGTTTTGAAACAAAATTATGAAATTAAAAATTCAAAATCATGTTATCAAACTTTTATATGTAAATGATTAACTGAATGAAGCAATCATTGTAAAATTATCATAATAAGTTATTGTAAGATATCATAATAATAATAATAAGTTGTAGATGAAAGAAGATATTTTATATAATAAAGCAGATAGTTTTGAAATTTGAAAATAAACCTAACATTTCAAACTGTGCACAATTTAACAAAATATTCTCAGTGAATAATAATAACTTAATGATCAGATGAAATTGATATCTCTGAAATGATTAGTCATTTTTTTCATTTTGAAATTGAATTGAAACAAGATATAGCTAACTGCTTGAGTATTTTAAATTTACAACAGAATTTAATTGAAATTAGCAAAATTGATTTGAATGTTTAAACAATAAAACAAAAGAATAGAATCTGTTCCAATAAAAATATAAATGTAATTAATGCAACTATTGTTTTGAATCAAATTTGCAAAAAGCTAGAAGAGCTCATTAGAGAAGAAAAAAGATAAAGATTTTAAAGAAATTTGAATGTGAAATTTCCTCAACGATCTCTATCAATTGGCTAACATTTGGCAAAATGAAACTTTTTCCCAATTCAATTCTGCTTGTTCGAATAGATTTTTACATCTTAGAACGACATGGTACGCTTCACATCACAACAAAAAGCAATTTCAAAAGAATTTCAAAATTACAAAATTCATTAGATGAATGAAAACAATTGGGATGAAATACCTATAGGCTATTAATGAAGTATGCATTTATAATTAACAAATTAATAGCTTCAGTTGCGGGAATTTCAAAATTACAAAATTCATTAGATAAATGAAAACAATTGGGATGAAATACCTATAGTCTATTAATGAAATATGCATTTATAATTAACAAATTATTAGCTTCAGTTGCGGGAATTTCAAAATTACAAATTCATTAGATGAATGAAAACAATTGGGATGAAATACCTATAGGCTATTAATGAAATATGCATTTATAATTAGCAAATTAATAGCTTTAGTTGCGAAAAAAATTTGTTGAGTAATAGTTCTT